GCGGCTGGGTCACGGTATCATGAGATTCTAGGTAGTGAAGATGCTCAGCCAGACAATCGCAGGTTCTAGGTAAATCCTTCAAGAAGGAAGAGGGCCTGGCCAACACCCAAGGATGTGAGACTCCAGACCAGTATTATGTGAAAGAAGAGGGAAGAAAGGGTTGCAGTCCCAGCAGAGACCGATAGTACCACGCAGGAAATCAAGGCAGAGGCCCCCCCTTCCCAACCACATCACATTGTTTGTTTGTTTTATTTCCAGAAGAGCTAACAAGATGGAGGGTTAAGGAGAAAATCTAATAGAAATAAAGTTATTCTGAGTTTAATCCTTAACATACCATTGACTGCATAATGTTAGGTATCTCCTTTTAGACCTGAGTGTGTGGGGGGGTGGTAACCCCAAAGTTTTACTTCCCTGGCTAGGATTAGGACATGGTCTGATTGGGGCTCACCCTGATGGCAGCCCCCTGTGTGAATTGTGAAGCTCGAAGTCTGCTAATATGATACCTTGTAGCAGCCGATCTAAGCCAGCTAAGATTTACTAGGTGGTTCTGGGACCTCCAGCCTTCTCAGTGAAATCACATACACACATAAATGGACTTATTTTAAAACATCCAATGGCTTTGATTTTGTTTCAAGTTGGCATGCCATGCCACATACAACAGTCATTTTTAGGGCTCCGTCACTACTTGCCCACTGAGGAGCCTGTCCTTGAAGGCTGAGAAGATAAGCCAAAGATGCTGGGCCCCAGAAGCAGCTCCCATGTCATTCTTACCATAGTTTACCTCCTGTTTAACTTGGCCTCCTGACCACCTCCTGCCTTCTACTTGAATGTCCCAGGTGAGTTTATAACCTGGCACAATTCCTAGTAACCCCATCAGGATTACTAGCATTACTGTTCAGTCCTTGCCTCGTCTAAGTTACTTGACTGTGTGGGCTTCTCTCCTTTCGGTTTTGCTTCGTAGAAGTTTAGGCAGCAGCCTGGATACAGTCGTTTGACCTTCCTCAGGTTAGCCCACACTTGTCAGGCCTAACCTTCCCAGAGCGTGTTCTCGGGCTGACTGGCTGCTCTACCTCCCTTACCAGTACCTTGCTTGAAGAGGCTTCCTCTGTATAGCCGGGCTGGTGACTGCTTGCCCATGTATGTTAGAGGCATTTCCCAGATCTGGTACTTAACAAATACCATGAAATAACCACATCAGTGAGAATCAGTGAACTCCTTTGAAAATTTGCATTCGTTATGTCAGAGTCTTTATTAGTTACATTCTCTTGGTGTCATGTGACAGGAGTTTATCTTTTCCTAGTGTAAGCTAAGTGATTGATGCTAGAATATTTGAGTATCCCGTAGAACTAAGGACAGGAAGGTGGTGGAATGTATGAGTAACTTGATCTCATAATTTAAGCTTTATCAGTATTCTCTCTGCTTGCCTCTTGCTTCTCACTTCTCTATGACCACCTTTATTCTATCCTCTTGCTGTAAACTGGCTTTCTCCACATGGAAGAAAATCTAAAATAAAAGGTAAACCATTTACATCTTGCAGTTTGGGTCACCCAAGAGAGAGTAATTTTCTTAAGCCTTTGTAGTTAGCCTAGATTTACATAAAGATGAGCCTTGAAGCTTCTTATTAAAATATTTTTTTCATATTTATTATAAATCTTTTTCCACTTAATGGAAATAAGCATATTAAAGGGGGATGTTTGGATCTGCTAAGTCACCAGTTTGATTTAGGAGTTCAATTAAAGAGGATATCCAATAAAGAAAGAGAAGGGGGGGTGGTAGGTCAGTGTGAAGTGTGGAGATAAATCTTAGAGGGAACCATCAAAGTAACTGGAGAACTGGTTTCAAGGCTCAGAAACCAAACTAGATCAAACTAGGCATGGACTCACATGATTTCAAAAGTGAGACAAGAAATAGGAGCCAGGCTGAGACAGAAGATCTGAAATTACCAACTGGTAGGAAGAGCACACTCCTGGGCCATACTTGGAATTCTACTGCAGCCTGTGTTACTACCACCTGATTTTTATTCTCTGCTGATATGATATGCCATTGAATGCTTAAAAGATTCCAGGAAGGTTCTGTAAAAACAGATTGAGGAGGACTGTGAGTGTCCCAGAGCGAAGCAATGTGGGATTTTCAGAGAGCCTGGTTTAGCAGCACAGTGGGATGATGTGTCATTAGAATAACCCATCAGGCCATCTGTTTGCTACTCACACAGGGAGTTGCCAATGTCAGATGTATGTGACACATGTGTGCGTGTTCACACAATTCACACTTCCTGTATGTTCATGCATTTTTAGTGACTTTCATAGATGTACGTACTAATTGTGGCTTCAGGATCTTTTTGTCACTAGGAAGGAGCAGTGAGCTTTCCACATAACCTAGATTGCACTTCAAGAGTCACAGCATCCACATCCTAGAGCTGGGAAATAATTATTATTTCATAACAGCTGAATAGTCAAGTAATAGTGACTGGTTAAAGAAATATGGTTATAAAGTGGATTTTGGAAAAGTAGTCATAGTCATAGTTTTATTTGTAACTAGAGAGTTTTGGGGTTTTCTTAGAAATGTTCTGCAAAGCTTACAAAGAGGTGTTACATTCCTCTATACCCTCATCTATCCTTTATAGATACATTTAGTCAGTTATTCATGTTTACTGAGATTCTTCTGAGTACTCAAGCGCTGTGAAGAATTCTAGGAAAGTAAAAAATCCTTGTTATTTTCTAAACATAAAGCCAGATTGGAAAGACCAAATTTATACATATGAAATGGAAAATAGCAACATAAACATACAAAAGTGATGAAGGTATTATATAGGAAATGGGCTTGTCTATAAAATGTATTCCCAGACCACATTAGTACAATCTATAAGGAGAAAAACAAAAGTAAGATGGGTTGAAAACCCCAAATCAAATCAATGCATATATATCGATGATACTATACTATTATAGATAATAAGGTAAAATACAAACACTGGGTGTGTACTTAGAAAGTTTTCAGTCTAGGCAAGGGGATGAGGCACAATCACTTTCAAGGAGAGATGTCATCAAAACTAGAAAAACAACAATAATATCAACAAAAGCCATTAAGGCATCACCAGATGCTCTCAGCATCTAATATGCATGACCCTGAGGCATCTTTCACCTTCACGGTAGCCTTTACTTTGCCTGGGTCTTGCGTGGTGCTGTAGCTAGAAATCTCCAATCACTGCCGGACGCTGGTGATGGTGCCACCTACATTCTGGGATCATGGAGCAGCTTAAGAAGGAAAAAAATGTATTTTGAGGTTAGAAAGGCCTGTGTTAAATCTCTGCTCTCATTTTCCCTGGGCCTCAGTTTTCTCAGCTATAACAGGTATAGTGATACTAATGCCTCATCACTATGGTTTTGTGGAGATTAAATAAGAATGTACATGCATATCCTTATATGTGGTCAATTAATATGTATATAATAAATGGTAATTCATATGATTAAGATTGATTCTGAAATTTAAGTTTACAAAGCACATTCAAATACATCATCGGGCTTATTCTTCAACATTTTCAAAAGGTGGTTGTTTCTATTCTCATTCTACAGAGAAGGAAAATGAGGCAAAAAGGATTAAGGGATTTGCCCCCAGCTTACACCACCAAAAAGTTACTGAGCCCCACATCATATCAGGAAGTTGCTAAAACAAACTGAGCCCAGGTCTCTTCTGATTCCAAACCTCATGTTCTTCCTACACCAAATGCTTCTTCAAAAGCACTGTTTTTTTGTGGGGTCCAGTGAAAACTATTTTTATCCAAAGCCCCTATTTACCCAACAAGGTACTTGTTATTAGGAGTTAACAAATAAGCCAGGGATATCTAGTTGACCCACTATGTAAATATGTAGATCAGACTCACATTCTCAATGCCCAGGGTTTTTAGTTAAAACATGGAATTTTGTTTTGTAAAATCTGCTGGATTGCCGTTTGTTTTATCATTTGATTAGGGTTCCATAGATACAAATTGACATTTAAAAAGCTGTTAACTCTGCTAACTCCAGAGGGCACATCTAATGAAATATCCCAAAAGTTGAGTACTTGCCAAAACCACGCTGTGTCATATAAAACAGCTCTCGATTAATCATGATAAGAGTATTTCTTCTATCTAAATGAAATCTGCAGTTTGGGAAGGAGATTAAAGATCCTTCAGGGATTGAAGGGAAAGTTGCTGTGAAAATTCTAGAAACTAGAAAATAAAGATTGGTCTACTCAATATTCATGAAGTCAGATTAGTTGATGCAAATAGAGATTGCAATCTCGTATGTTCTAATGAGCTGGTTTGTAGCTCTCCTATATCAGTTTTATACAGATTCTTACTCAATTTCAAGGTAAATCACTGCAGTTTGTACACATTTTTTTAAAGAAATTTTAGCATATCCAGTATGGTTTTCTGCCATCTTTGATTAATTTTTAATGTTCTCTTTAAAGATTTCCAAGGTATATGATCAGAGCCGTATAAATAACAAAGAAAATATATGATGACAGTATGCATAGTAGGTAAACAGACATATCGCTAAGTGAACCCTTCTGTTTTGCATTGAATACAACATACTCTCAAAATGCAGTTTAAAGAAAAGGATTCTAAATATTGGTTTAGGTTTAATTTTGCTTCCTGGAGAGGGAAATCAAATTTCTTTAGCACAGATGTTTTAAAAAGAAATGTTACAAACTTTAACTTTTACCCAATTTATTAGAAATCCTTGCCTTAAACACAAATTCTCATCTCCTACACTATTGAATAAAATTTAAGAGAAAATGAGTGTACGTTTTATTGCTAACTCCATTTTATTATGTGGTGAATGCAGTAACCAAATATTTGGAGGGTGTGGGGGCCTTGAGCTATTTTATTTATTCTCTCACCACCTGACACAGTACCTGACAGGTCCTCAAGAAACACTGTCAAGCTCTTTGTTAAATAAGTTAATGGATTCTCAGAATACACTACTTGTCATTTAAAATTTTTTTCTATTTCTCTTTTTTAGGCCAGCCCTGCTCCTATCATCGTCAACACAGATACTTTGGACACAATTCCTTATGTGAGTAACATTTTACTTAAGACTTCCATTAAAAAGTACGACTTAATCAACTAAATTTAAAATTTAATACATATTCAGTTTTACCCAATACAAGTAATTTTATAAAATGATGTGTAGAATGAGGTTTATGAGTTTGCTTTTGATATTTGCTAACTTTCAGCTTAGTCATGCAAATGTTTTCCTCTTTCATTCATTGTTTTGTAAAACACAAGTGCCTGTCATTAGAAAAAAGCAGTCAAATGTGTACAGATAACGTTAGTTTCCTAGGTGATTCACTGAAAAGACATTGCATTTCTTATAGGAGAGATGAACAAACTTCTTTGGATCTCTCAGTAAAGGAACAGTCAATTTAATTTTTATTACAGAGCATAGTATGTAAGTAAATGATCAATAAATATTTGATGGATTTTGCTGGGCTCCTAACAAGAATGGAAACAAAAGTTATGTGAGGGTAAAGGCTGTCTATATAAAATGAAATGTATGGTTTTATAAAAGCATGGCACATGAGATATCAGGATCAGTCAGATCAACAAAGCCTGGGAATCTGTACCTGAAATGTACCCACTCTGATGACCAAAGCTCTTGACATTAGAGTCTGGCTGGGCAGGAGGAATTGGAGACCAGCAATAGGCCATGATATGGGCGAGTGACTGACATTATGGAGGTGCAGGACAGCTTTGTGAGTGGCCCTTAGCTGGTGTGTAGAGAGTAATCATTCAGGAAGACAACAGTCCCAGATCCATGTGGACAGAGTTTGAAGCAAGGAGAAGAGCTGTAAGGATAATGATATAAGAAAAACAGATTCCTGGGCTTTGGTTAATTGAGTAAAGCATGTGACGTGTTTATAAGAGTACCTGGCACAAAGTACGGGCTTGGTTAAGTACCAGTTATTGTCATGCTTAGAACTCAACCTCAAATGCCTGCAAGGACCAAGCACACATATCCAGGTCCAGAACCAAATGGAGCAGGAAATGTGGGGACCAATGGGGAATAGAGAGCACATGGCCTTCCAAAAGGGGCAGCTGCCACTCAGCACCAGTGGGTTGGCACCAAGGGGAAATGCGGGCCAAATGTTATCAGACCATCCAATTTCTCAATGGGGGCTGGGACTTTGAAGATTTATGTAAAATCATGCAATTTTTAAGTACAGGCAACTGATTTTTTCAAAAGTTCAAACACTGTGTGTACCAAACAAAGTGGGTCTAGCCCAAAGGCTGCCCTTCGGGAGGTGTCTGCCTCAAAGGAACTGGAGACTTGAGCAAGTTCTGTGAGCTGGGACTCAGCCGCAGGGGAACCGAGTGCTAGAACTAGAGTAGAAAGGTTGGGACTTGATTACAGGAACAAGTGACTAAAACTGGGACGCGGGGCCAGGACAAGAATAACGGCACATTTGATTTAATGCTGAGTCACCTGAACTACTGAACTAGAGCTTCTTAAATCTTTCTGTACAAGAGTTGTTTGGGGTCAGACCGGAAATGGGGTGAACCTTACTGGTAGGAATCCATTGGCCCAGCTGTGGAAAACAAAGGACTCTGTTAGAAGGAAGCAAACCAAGGTGTTAAGGACACACAGTGTCCAGTACTGATCTCTCACTCTTTCTACCTTCTTGTACTTCTTAAACATTTATATTGGGATTAGTGTATACCTGACACTGTTTTAAGTACTAACAAATATTAACTCATTTAATCCTCATAACAACCTTTGAGATAGGTACTGTGAATTTATCCATTTTACAGATGAGGGCACTGAGTCATAAAGGGGCTAAGTAGCTTTCTCAAGATTTCACAGTAAGAGGCAGAGCCGATAATGAACCTAGATAGCCTGGCTGTAGAGTCTGAGATCTTACGTAATGCCTGTTGTTGTGCTGCCTTTCCCCTTCCCACCCTTGTTCTCTGCCCCTCAGCTGGGAACTGAAGTCTGCTTTAAACTTACTCCCCTGCTACACGTAGCTTTGGGTGGAAGGCAACTTGTCATAGAGACTTCAGTATCCTAGAGCAGTGATCCATGTCTGTGTTAAGGAGTTCAATGTCTTTGCTATAACAAATCTCTTTACTGTCCGTTGCCAAAGCAAAAGAGGAGTACTTTGAACAAGTAGACATGGAACACAGAAACTTAGTTTGCTAGGTAGGACTGCTTTCTTGTGGTAGGTCTATATTATTTCAAAGCCTTCTGTTAAGGTTTTCATGGCTTAACTGCCAGATGCCCTCATGTGCAAATAATTTATCAGTAACATCTAAGAATTTTGTACAGACATGCTCAATGTGATATCCAAACTAATTAGCTAGTAAGATTAGCTACATATAACAAGCTAATCAAATTGCTCCCATTCCCCTAAATATCAACTTTGTATCTGACTGAGTTTTTCAAAGGGCTTTCTCCTCCCTATCTTCAACTGTTTTTGTACTTCATGCAACCCTTTTTGAACCTTCTTAAGAGTTAGAAGCTTTAGAGATTTTTGATTAGCAGCTTGGTATAGTAAAGATGTCCCAATACTCACGGCAGTGTGTTCTTGGGCAATTCACTTAGTCTTTCTGGACCTAAATTAATCTCTAAGACAGGAATTACATAATACCTACTTTAGAGGTGTTTGTAAGAATCACATGAGATCATGTGTGTGAAATCATGCTTTGGTAACTCTTGGATGATAGGGGTTTATTTATTTATCATTTTGTTTGATAAACACTTATGAAGTAACACATACTAGACCCCAAGAGAATGGTAACTATGAATGTCTTCCCTCACATAGATGAAACATTATCTACTGAAAATGGCAGATTTAGTACACAGCCATTAATGTAGATATGTTTTGGGTCTTAGCATCGGCCCCAGCCCTCTCCTTTTCCCCTGATTCACTGGGTAACCTTGAAAAAAAAAAATCACTGTTCCTTTTGCAGTCTATTTTCTCATTCCCCAGTGTTCTATACTTTGTTTTTCTCTTTTATTTCACATGTTCTAGTTATTTGCATAATTTCAGCTCTATTTAATGAAAAAATGATTTTAGAGCTCCCCAGAGCATATCAGTCATGTTGCATAAGAACATTTCCTTCTTTAAAAATATTACCTAAATGACAAATTTTAACTTATAACATTAAAGTCCTCCTCAAAAATAATTTCATTACAAGTGAATGTATTAATTTTGCCAATTAGCAAATTTGATTTTAGCAATATATGGTCCTTGTGGAAATGATTCCTTGGCATACATGCACGTGGCAGTTGAATAACTAGAGGAAGTCTGTAATTAAAGGAAATTTGTCTAAAAAAGGTACAACCAATATTTAAAGAGATTTCTGCTCTTTTTTTTTTTTGAAAGGTAAGTTAAGGGATCTTAGAGCTTTTAAAGGTCTGCCATTAACAAAGGGGTCTGGTTCTTACAAGTAAATGCTTCAAATAAACCCATTTTTATATGATGTCTTGATGCTTTAGGGTTGGGTAGGACTTTACCTTTGGTTCAGTCCTGCCTCTCATACAAAGCAGGAATCCCCTATAGGAAGGCCTTTTCATGATGGGGCCCAGTCGGTGGGACAGTACTACCCGAAAAAGTATTATTTTCATTATGATGGCTGAAGCACAAGTGGACAAGCCCAGGACACAAGTGCTCGAGGAAAAGCAAGGAGAGAAAAAGGAAATTCCCTTTGAAACACTCTGTAGTTTCCATTTTTCACTCAACCTCTGTATTCTTCCCCGGTATATGTTGACTATTGTCTTATGTAAGGTACTGAAAATACTCTGTTCTTAGAGACTTTAGAGTGCATACAGCCTGCCTGTGATCTGTAAGTTCAGCTTCCTGAAGGCTGACTGAGTGAAAAGGTGGCATGTTACCCTCTCGGTCCTCTGCGACCAACTGGCACAGAAGCCTCCTTTCCTGGCATATTTCCCTTCAGCAGACTGAAGTTCTAAGTCCCATTCTCTCTGCTTTAGAAAAATAAAATTAATCAGAGAGATTCTAGAATGTCTTTTCTCTCCATTCTCCTCTAGCTTTCATTTCATGGTGGTTATATTTTTATTTATTTCCTGGAAATATACCGTGGAACATGGGGAAAACTCAAGAATCATGAGATTTAAATCTTGTGAAGTAAATTGGGGTTCAAGGAATGCAAATCTCTTATTTTCAAATACAGATATTATAGCTCAACTAGTAAAACTTGGTAGAACTTGGGTTTCCACTTACTGCCATTCCATGTAACAGTCTACTTTTAGTGTGTAACCAACAACCACAAAGTCAGTGGCATATAACAGGGGTTGGCAAACTGCGGCTCGCGAGCCACATGCAGCTCTACGTTCCGTCTCAAAAGTTTGCCGACCCCTGGAAGAGCCAATCCTGCCCCTCACAACAATTTAAAAATTATTCGAGAGCTATAAATATATTTTTACATAATCACCAAGATGTGAATAATATCCTTTAAAATTTTTATAAATGAAACTATGATAGTTTTACTTCCATGTTCAATTTTACTTCAGAGCCTGCAGCTCAAGAGCCGCAGTTTGCTGACCCCTGGAGGCTCTTCTGTCTCAAAAGTTTGCTGACTCCTGGCATATAACAGTAAACATTTACTTCTTGCAACAGTGTTTGCTGGTTGTCTGGGCCAGCTGCTTCAGGCTGTAGATTACCAGGTTAGCTGAGACATCTCTACTTCACATATTTCATTATGGGGCTCAGAGGGTGGGACAGCACTACTTACTTAGACTATTACTTTCATTATGGTGGCCTAAGGACAGGAGGAAGAAAAGCTTATGACATAAGCGCAGGTAAAGCCTCTGTTCACATCACATCCATTAATACCTCACAGGCCAAAGCAAGTCATATTGCCAAGTTCAAAGTGGAGGAAGGAGTGAATATTTGCTGAACAAGAAACTAATTTACCATAGCCCAGCCTTAAATAAAAGGGTGAAGAATCTCTATATGTCCCTTTTTAGGAAGAAACAGGTACAGCAGTAGGAATTTTAGATTTTTAAAACATTAATAGATCAACTATAATAAAGTTCCAAAGGAGTTTGGATCAACTG